CCTACCGATGCTATCTAATGGGTCTTCTAAAACAGGATCAGGCTTCCCTGCTGGCCAGGGGCCCCACTTACAAAATGCCCCGCTCTGTTTCCTGGCTCCCGCTGTGGGCCAAGATCCCTCTCACCACTCAGAAGGGTCTTCAGGAACAGGACCAGGCTCCCCGTTCACCAGGGATCTCGCCAACAAAAGGCCTACCACTCTACAGGCCAGTCACCAAAACAAAGAAATTCCTACTGCCCTCTGCCCCAGCACCCGACCCAGTGCCCAAACAGGCTGAACTGGGTGATCCTGCGGCCCTGCCCCGTGGAAGAAATGGAGAAGGAAGGAAGCCCCTGGGCGCAAGCTGGGATGGGCCAGGGATAGAGAGGTCACAGCAGAGGAGGAGCAGCCCCAAGCAGAGGGGAGCAGCCCTTGCAGACTGACGGACAATGAGGACTACTGAGAAATCAAAAACAATGGCACTGGGTTTTGATCCTACTGCACATACTGGCTTTGTGGGAGCCTAGGCAGTTTGGATGCTCACCTAATTAGACCTGGAAGGAGGTGGGTGGTCCTTGGACTTCCCACAGGGCAGGGAACCCGGATTGCTCTTGGGCTGATGAGGGAGGGGGACTTGATTGAGGGAGGGGGAGGGAAATGGGAGGCAGTGGCAGGGAGGAGGCAGAAATCTTTAATAAATAAATAAATAAATTTAAAAAATAAACAAATAAATAAATAGTACACTAGAAATAGTGCCTTCTTCCTTTTCTGACTGAACAATAACTTTCATATATCTTTCTCCTTACCCATTCTGGACACTGGCCCCAGGGCCTTACATCCAATGGGTAAGTGCTCTAGACCAGTGAACTAAAGCCCTAGTCACATCTCCTTTCTTTTCTTTCATTTCTTTTATATTTTCTTTCTTTCCTTCTTTCTTTCTCATTCAGTTTTTAAAAGCAGTGTTTCTTTGTATAACTTTTGCTGCCCTGGTACTCTTTCTGTAGACCAGGCTGGCTTCAAACTCACAGAGATCCACCTATTTCTGCCTACTGAGTGCTGGGATTGAAGGCATGCACCACCGCCACCTGGCCCATATCTCATTTCTTAATGTCTAGAAATAAGTTATGTGTATCTTTTGGTTTTGGTTGCTTGTTGAAAATTCAGCTTAAGTTTTCCATGATGGGATTTCCCTCTTCTCTGCTCTATGAATCACCAGTACAGAGTTCCATTAATTTTACCCTCTTTACTCTCAACCACAATTTGAAGAGAAGAAAGACTATAAATGTATATATCTCTTTGCCTAGTGGTACACTAATTCAGCTCAGGAAGGATTCTAATGGAGAATACTCCATGGCCACATATTGCAGATGTGGCAACCTTGGTACTAATACCAAGAGAATGGTGGCCAAAGAGACCCTCACCAGAGCAGAACAAGAGGGACGCACAGAACTGAGGTTTGGGGATCACTTTCTGATAGTTGTGTTGCAGCAAGAACTTGTCTCATGGTCAAATCCACAAATCCCTTTCCCTATTTTGTACCTGGGACCAGCTCACTCATCTAAGTACATACATGATGTGGGATGTTCCTCTATATGCTGGGAATATGTTTTATTGCCTTTGTTTAATAAAGAAGCTGCTTTGACTTATAGCAGGGCAAAACATAGCCTGGAGGGGAATACAAACAGAGATATATAGAAAGAGTAAGCAGAATCAAAGAGATGCCATATAGCTGCTCAAGGTAAAGATGCCCATAACCTTTCTGGTAAGTCACAGCCTCATGGTGATGCACAGATGAATAGAAATTGGTTAAATTAAGATGTCAGAGTTAGGTAGGAATACTCTTGAACCATTTGCCAAGCAGTGTTTCAATTAATATCATTTTTGTGTGATTATTCGGATCTAGGTGGATGGAAAATAAAGAGCAGTCTCCACTTAACAAATGACATCCAATGTGGGACTTGGATCAACAAAGACCTAAAGAAGTTTAAGAAAAAAAGAGGGCTCCAAGACCACAAAATGGGAGCCAATTGCAGCTTGTTTGTAGCCACATTTTTTTTTTCAGATAAGCTCTGCTTGCTGGCCACCAGCAGAGGCACGACTCCTTTAAGAGAAGGCTTTCTGGTTTGTGCTGGTGGCATGAATTGCTCTGGTTCTTTCAGGAAGTCCTGGTATGGAGCACTTAAATAGAGTTTTGAGCAGAGTGTTACAAGTTGCATATTGGCAACATAGACCTGCTGCATCCCTGGAATTGGGGCAGTGAGCATGACTCACAGAGACTGTAATCATACCTTTGCCATGTTGGACTAGGCAGGGCCAACAGGCAATGCTGCAGCCTTAATCCTAGCCATACCTGCTTAGCATTTAAAAAAAAAACTCTCCTGGTCAGAAAATGATTATATTTACACAATAAGATAGATTTAAAAAACTCTGAATGGGTCACAGTGCTGAATAAATGTACATGGGCTTATGAGAGAGAAGAAAGAGTACAGAAAGTCATAGATTAAAGGATTAAAGATAATAAAATAAATATTAAAAAGAAATAGAGTTTTTAAAAAAGCCATGTAGTCAAATAATGGGAAACACACAGAAAGTCTGGATTATTTATATTATTGTGTTTTCTTTGTATTTTTAGACTGCAGAGAAACATTTGATTCTCGGGGGTGTAAAGCTAAACCAACACATGTATTTTAAAGGTATCTTGACTTTAAAATTTGAGTCTAAGGATATGTTACTTTGGAAAAGAGTTTCTGCTTTTGTTTCTACAAAAGATGAGAAACTGTGGATTCATTCCAGGCTAATTTGTTTAATGGATCAAGACCACTGAAGGACCTCCATTAATTTTAAAAATTCTTCACTCCAAAACAACAGGAAGTAGTTTGGAGAAAACCGTGCCCAAATTTCCATATTATTTTTTAATGGACTTTGGTTTATTGATACAAATGTAAGGTTAATTTTCTTATATGTATATTTCTACTCTTGTTTAAGGTATTGTGTTTGTGCAGTTCATTTAAAAGTGTAATGTATAGTTAAGAAATATAGATTAATAATAGTCATTTATGATAGTCAAACTTATAGTCAATCATGGTGTAGTCAATTTATAGTAATGTTTTCTAGATATACAGAGATATATTTCAGTTAGATAGATAGTCTTCAACACTTCAAAGATCTATAAAATATGACATTTAAAATGTTTTAAAGAGTTAGATTTTTCGCAACAGTGAGACATTTCTGTTTCTGTCAGCACCAACTGCTTCAGAGAGGTGGATGGGCATTGAAGAAAATCGGTATAGAATTTGCCTTCAGTGTGACAAGGCTAGCCATTTGGAAAAAAAAAACTGCTCTTGCCTGGACTGCTTAACAATATGCTGTATAAACTGGACATGCAGGATTCATGGAAACATGACTGCCTAACTTGCCAAAAGAGGGTGAGACAGTTCTTCAGGGCTCCTGCTCCACCAAAGAAACTGCCAGACATTTTCTTTTCTTTTCTTTTTTTTGAAGCAGGAAGACATTTTCAAGACATAAAAGAAAGTGACTGACAAACTGCCAACATAGGCAAAACAGTCTTTCAAATTTTTTGCTTCATGGAAAAGTCTGCCCAAATATTATGGGGCTGTAGGCTAAAGATGAATGCTCCAATGGTACAGAAGAACTTTGGGTGACTGTCCAGGCAGTGAGATGTCTCTGTCAATTCTAGAATTTTGAAGGTTGTTTACAAAGCACTTCCTGTTTACTTAGGTAATATTACATCCTTCTGGGATTTTTGATGGAGTTGAAAACAGATAGTTATAGTTTTCCTTAGTTATGATAAAAGATAAATTAGATTTGAAACTTTAGATGCATAGAGAAATAATGTAACTATAATTAAGCTTGATACCTGTTTTGTTATATGTAATTTTACTCTATTAAAGTTTAAACCTTCCTTTTTATTAAGACAGAAAAGGGGAGATGATGTGGAATACCCCTCTGTATGTGGTGACTATGTTTTATTACCATTGGTTAATAAGGAAGTTGCTTTGACCTATGGCAGGGCAGAATATATCCAGGAGGGAAATCTGAACAGAGATATATAGAGAGAGTAGGCAGAGTTAGAGACACGCCTTGTAGCTGCCAAAGGAGAAAGATGCCTGGAACCTTTCCAGTAAGCCACAGCCTCATGGTGATACACAGATTAATAGAAACAGATTAATTTAAGATGTAAGAGCTAGATAGGAATACTCTTGAACCATTTGCCAAACAGTGTTGTAATTAATATCATTTGTGTAATTATTCATGTGTTGGTGTCTGGGAAATGAAGAGCAGTCTCTGTTTAAACTTATATCCCTCTCTTTTCTCTCTGTTGGTGTATATCCTCTGGGAAGGTTCTAGAACTTCCTTACTGGAAATATAGGAGTAAAAAATTTCAAGAAATGATGAAATGCTCACAATTGGATATTCATTATAATGAAGAAAATAACAGACTCATATTTATATGTTAATACTTGGAAAATATTGATTTATTTTCATTTTGTGTGTATAGATACCTGAGTGCTAGCAAGTACACCACTCGCATACTGTGCCAGCAGAGGCCATCAGGTCATCTTGAACTGGAGACTGGTTATTTGCCCCACAAGTGGGGTGCTAGGAATCGAACCCCATACTCTGGAAGAGCAGCCAGCACTCTTAAGCTCCAGCTCCAACAGCTACATATTTACATATCAATATCTACTTCTTTTCAGTTTTACTCTGCATCACTCCCCAGTCCACACCACTGAGTGGTTGTTTCTGTAACATGCTTCTCCATCCCACCTGTGATCCAAGCTAATGACCTGTAATAGCCGAGGACAAGTTAGTACATATCCTGAGGCTGGGTTGGTTTTACCTTCACCAGAAACTCCAATGTCAAGCCACTAAGCTCAACAACAGGAGTGTGTCATGGAGAGTACCTGGTGTCTCGGAAGAGCCCAGGCTGCCATGCTAAGAAGGTCAGCTGCTTGGAAGTTCCCTGTGATCAACTGGTATTTCCGGAATGGATTAATTACCTCCTGAAAGTCCCAATGCTGTTGATGAATGGCAGGGCCTTCCTCCACGCAGTTCTGCAGAATCACCTGTTCTTGTCTGACATCAAAGCACAGATGCTGTGGGCTGCCGAAGAGAATCTCCTTCCTGCTGGTGTGCTCCAGGTTCTGGGACAGAGGAGATGGCAGTTAGAAAAGCCCAAAAGACACCTTCTCCAGAGCCATGAGGAGACAAAGGAACACACAGCAGGACTATGTTCTTCAGATTTGACAGGGGAAGCCAGCAAGGCTCTTCCTGGGTTCTGAAGCCCCAGTACCTTGGCCTTTCTCACATTCCTAATTCCACATCCTGGCATGCTTCTATGGTGTTCATTCTGCTCCCTGTGTGCAGATAAGGTCATTTAAAAGGCTGCAAGTGCTGGATGCACACTGCTGGAAGGGCAGGCGATGGAGCTCTCTGAGGCCTAGGTAGATTTCCTTCTAGGGACACCTTCCCTGCCCCTGACTAATTCCACTGCTTTCACTGTGGTGTCTGCAGACTCTTGGTCATGGTTCCCATTGTCTCTCCATCATGGTTCCCCTTGCTTATATCATGGTTCCCATTGTCTCCATCATGGTTCCCAGGGCCTCCGGAGTTTTATAGAGCTAGACTGTGTGGACCTTTACAGAGGGTCTTTAACTGTGAGGCTCCTGTGCTTACCAATTGGATGGTATGTTTTGGCAAATCGATCCATCTTCTGTTCATTATTGCCTGATGTAGCCTAAACTGATTTTTATGTTAACTGTGTACTCTGAGCCAGCTCCCTGCACAGTCACATGAGCCCTGTGCTCAGACAGTTTTCATGCTCTTGGTTCAAGCTATGCCCTGCTGCCACTGTCTTGAAATTCTTAATAACTGTTGAATGAGCGACATCACATCTTCCATTTGCACCAGGCCCTGCTAATTTGCCAATTAAATATAGTGGTGTGCCCTGCTTAAATATTCCCAAACTGTAAAGTTAGCATAAGTTTAAACCCTAAAGAAAGGGGGTAGGAAGGGAGGGGAGCAGAGAAAAATAAATAGTTCAATAAAAACAATTAAAAAAAATTTGAACCCCAAGCATATCCCACATACTTGTAGGCAATTCTCAAGGGAGAGTAATGTTTTTTCCTACTCAAAATCCCATCAGTAGACAGATGACTTCCTGGTTTTCTTGTGGTCATGGGAGAGATATTTTTAGTGCAGCTTTGTAGGGACAGGCTACTCTGTGATGGTCAAAGCTGGCTAATATGAAGTCTCATCACAACCTCATCTCTACTGAGCTGAAGCTGAGCTCTTCTTACTTCTCTCTCCTGCAGCCACACTCCTGAGCTCCTGAGGTTGTTGGCCACGGACCCTGTCACCTCTCAAGAAAGCCCAGCATACACATTGAGTTTATTTTCAGTTGCCACTTGAGTTCTAGTTCCTGGATATTTGTTTCCATTTCTTTCTTGTGAGCTCAGTGACTGTATGGAAAGGGGCATTTCATCCTCTTTTAATCTAGGCTTTTTTCCCCCTGGTGTGGGTCAGTTTACTGACTTTCCAATTTTGCAAGTTCCAGAGACCTTACTAATAAAAAAAAATACACAGAATAAATATTCTCTCTGTTTAAAAGAAGCCTACAGCACACGAAGAAACCAAGACTCAGATGATAATAAGCCTGCCAAGATCTCACAGCTAGCCAAAGGGAACTTGATTCAAACCTGGCTCCAAATGGCAGTAAAGCTTGAACAGTTATCACCCTGACATGTGACTTCCTCACTTACTCTTCATGTGCTCATTCCTGTGTTCAGTGTTATGGTTTAAACATGAAGTAGTCCCTGTAAGCTCAAGTTTCACATGCCCCAATGCCTGACCCTGCTTTGACAGCTGAGGGGCCTCAGGAGGTGGGACCTGACTGCTGGAAGCTGATCACTTGAGCAAAGCCTCTGAGGGTTTTATGCACCTAGCTCGCTTTCTCTGCTCCTTAGTCTGCACCATGTGAGCAAGCTACCAACTGTGTCATACTTCTGCCCCATAGACCAAGCCACTCCCACTGCCAGGCCCTTCCCATAGTAAAACTGAAATCCTCCTGAGACTGTGAGGTAATAAAACCACCACCACCAACAACAAAACAATATAGCAGAAAAAGGAAACCTTTTCCTCCCATGCTTCTGTCAGGAGTTTAGATTGTAGGGATGTGGAAACTCACTAATATATCTGGTATAAATGCACACTGGTATTTTAGGAAAGAATGGTGAACTACATAGATAGAAGAGACCAAGTGAATCTTGAGTCAACCCCTTCCCTGTGTACCCTCAGTCCGCAAGCCTATGCTCAGCACTCTAGGCTGCTCTGCAAGGCTGGACCAGCTTCCACAGAGATGTCCTAGGCTTGCCCTGCAAGGCTGGGCCCCAAACTTCCTGTGAAGATGCTTTCCCCTTCTCCCCAGGCTCTCTAGGTCTCCCTTAACTGTTGTTTGCTTTTGTTAGGTAATTTTGATGTATGACAGATCAATTCAAAGGATCCCCCATCACAGTCTGAATTAGATAAGGGGCCAGTCTACAGTGAGGAGTTATTCAAGTTGTAAAAAGAAGTGGACCCATGGCCCCTCAGCCAGGATGGACAGCTTTCAGCTACCTTGCCCAGCAAATAAGAGCACCCTAAGGGTCACAGTGACCTTCCTAAGGGTCACAGTGACCTTCCTAAGGGTCAAAGGGTCCATGTGACTCTTGACTCTTCTTCCAACTTTATTACTTCTTTTCTACTAAGATTCTTGGACCCTTCCTCAAGCCAGGAGGATCTGAAGTAGAAATTTCTGGGCTGGTGTTTCTATGACAGTTTCCCCTTCTGCCAGTTTCAAGAACTGACTAAGCAGCCTGTTTCTTCTAAATGAGATGCTCCATTCTTTGATGCTGGTCCAGATCTAAGGTGAGGATGATGTGGGTGTACCTGTGACGTGTCCTCACAGTGAGAAACCATGGCCTGTCAAGGGACATGGGGCCACATGGAGGAGCTACTTTGAAGGGAACTGAAGGGCACCCGAACAAACAGCATCTCTTGCCTTTCTTCACTGAAAATCATCTCAAGGATTATCATCACCCACCTGTTGTTGCCGGTTGTTACTGCAAGGGGCTAAAGTCATAGGGCAGCCCGGGATGTCACTTTCTGCTTGGCAGTCTGCACAGAAGCCGAGTCCAGTGTTGTGGAGCTGAAAATGGGCACCCACAAAGATGTGAATCTGACCTCTACTCTGAAGATGCCATGAAGCAGACTCTAATCCCTTGTCCTCTTTAGACCTTATCCTGATGTATGTGGCTCTGACATGGTAAGCTGGATCAAGCCCAGGTCACTCATCTTAAGACACAAACCTCCATAAGGAGTCTGGCCACACTCATTTTTGGTGAAGGGATCTGGCAGGGGATATAGGGGAACACAGCTGCTTTCCTCTGGCTGGCAGGAGGCTGGAACATGGAGTCCAAAGGCCTCTGAAGCCCTGCTGAGGTTGCCTGGTGTAAGGGATGAATGCTCATGTATTAACAAGTGACCCTCACTCTTTCTTTCCTTTCTCCCCTGAGTCATGCCTTGCCTTTCCAGAGAACCTGGGTCTGTGCTCAGATGGATACAGCTCAGGGTAGACATTGGCCAGAAACCAGTGGAATGTCCGACAACCCAACCTCCTTTGCAGCTTCCGGCGTTCCGTGCAGTCTGGCTTTGCAACCTGCAGGTGGAGGAGGACATGGGGAGCAAACCAGGAAAGCTTGTTTCCCACAAACCCAGACAGTATGAGAGGAATGGAGGTAGACGTGAAGAGACAGAAGGACTGGGACAGGATTGCAATGGAGGAAGACTCATATGTTGAGAGAGGTATAGAAGGTACAGAGTCAAGTATCTTCTCTGGAGAGAGGTGTAGAACCAACAAGATTGGAAGCAGTACTACCCCTTCTCACAGATCCCCAAATCTTCAGCCTACAAAGACCATGGTGTCTGAGCCGTAAAGTCTTTTCTCTGGAATGTGAAGAAATGATGGACTCTGTACCTGGGTTGTAGCATGAGTTGGACCAGAGGTAGTGGAGATTAAATCAGCAGGGAAATTACAAGGGTGGGGACTGAGGAAAGGCAAGTTGATTTTTCTTCTTCCCTGAGTTTTAATTTTCTCCATTGGTGAAGCATTTATTTGAGCTACATTGGCCCCTCCCTTTATATACAACTGTAGGAAAATGAACACCAGCCCTCAACACTAGTTTACTGTTTTAGGCTGTGTTGGTAAGATATGAAGAAACCCATCTAGAAGGGTAGTATAAATTTCCTGGAACAGAGAGGATTTAAGGTGGTGCTGGAATAATCAAACATGGAGAGATGGGGTGGGGAAGGAGGAAGGAGGGAATGGGAAAGGAGAAATAAAAAAGGGAGGGGGTAATTTCCATGTTTATGTTCCCTCTTGGTTGTCTCTGGTTTTCAGTAAGACACAGAGGGCCAAAAAAGCTGTAAATATTTTACATGTTATGTTGGGCTAACCTCATCCAAAATGCTGTGCTCTATTGAGCCTGTCTAGAGCCCAGGTACATCAGAAGCCTGGCTAGTTCTTTTTATGGGTTCTTTTATAAATTAAATCTATATTGACATTAAACAAGTGTCCCTTGAAAATAAAGAGAAAATACTAAATTGATATCCATTACATGAGAGTGGAGAAAATGATGCTCAATACAACAACAACAACAAAGCCCAAAGATTAAAATCCTCAGTGACTCTGGGGGTCCTTTCATCCTGAGGGGTAATCAAGGACTATGGAATAACATTAATTACATGTTTTAATTTCAACTTTTCTGTGACTTTTTTTGGTAATTCATATTTATTTTTATAATCAAATCTTTTCTTTGCCTTGGTTATTCCGTAGTCCTTGATTACCCCTCAGGATGAAAGGACCCTCAGAGATGTGGTTCATCCGTTATCTCCCTCTGGTTCCCAGCATCCTATAGCAGTATGGGAATTCCAGGTCAAGTGTGAGACTCCAGGGAGGTGATGGGAGGGACAGAGGACAGCCACACCAGGTAGAAGGATCACTCTAGAGGGACAACTCAGAGAAGCTCAAGCCAGAAATAAGAGAGGGACCTCCTTGGCTGACCCAAAGCTAGTGAACTTATGTTGGTCAAAGACTCCCTAGCAGCCCCTCTTTACCTTGCTCAGGGAAAGGGCCTCTGGGCTGTGCCTGTAGAAGGTTTCTTTGAAGGACCCCAGCCAGGTCTCAGCAACGTGGACCTTGTTCCTCAAGATGACTTCAGGGTCAGCCCTGGAGCTGACATCTTTGCTTTGGTAAATGTGTCCCACTCGAGAGCAGGGAAGGATTTCAACGGAGCCGCCACAAAGCCAGGTCTGTGATAGAAGGAGAAGGTGATTGGCTCTCCTTTCTACCTCTCTGTCTGTGAGCGACTGACAGAAGACCAGGAAGTCTATGCCAGAATGACCAGTTCATATCCTTAGAACATAGTTCCTCAATCCTACAGTGTGGGGAGCAGGGCAGTGAGGTGAGAGGGACAGAGGGCAGTTGTCCTAGAATGAAATTGAGGGGTGATGGCTGACCCCTGTGACCTGCCTGGACACGCCACCTGGAAATGTGCAGACCAGAGGATGCTTTCCCAGGGAAAACATGTCTGCAGTGGCCAGGGAATTTCTAAGAGCCAGTGATGTCTCCTGCAAAGACGCTAGAGATGAAAGCACAGCTTCCTTAGTCTTCTTCACTCCATTCAGAAGCTTCTCCCTGACCCCCACTGCTCAATGGACAAGAATCCTTTATTCCATACTTGGTGACAGAAATTACAATTGAATCATGCTGGGACAGGCTGTGGTTCAAGAACTAAAATCACACTAGGCATGGGGTTCTCAAACACTATGCCCCAAGATACCTCAGAAGACTCAAAGAGAACCTCAGACATTTTTCAATTTTTAGAGAAACAGACAACTTAGAAATTATGCAAACTACAATCTTGTTGTAATTCACACATCCACATTAGATTGGCCTGCCATGGGAGATGATGGACATCTTTTCTGGACTAGGTTTGGGGCAGTGGGTATGACAAAGGCAAGAATAATGCTAGGAACAGTGTGGAACAGAAAGTATGGGTGGTGCCTGTCCACACAGTTCCCAGGACAGAGAGGACAGCTATGCCCAGCAGGTCCTAAGTCAAATGAATACCCATTGTTTGGAAGGAACTACACAATGCCAAGAGTGGTTTCACATTTGGCAGGTGGGTACCATAAAAGATTCCCTAGATGCTAAGAGTGCCATGAACAGAGAATGTACCAGAAGCTCTGGATTCTCTGCACTGAGATGTGAATGGCTGATAGTATACCTTCTCCTGATGAGGATTCTGAAAGTCAAGTTCACAGAGGAGACTGAGAGTAAAGTCAAGATAGGTCGCAAGAGTCATGGCCTGGGAGGAGACGGGAGGTTTGACACATCTTGATGTAATGACTTTATATAACTTCCCCACAAGTTTATTCCCAACACCTGCCCTTCCTAATGTCTACCTCTGAGCTGACTGCACACATGGTTCCAGAGATACCACCCGCATCCACTGTTAACGTAGAACCTACCTTGAAGGACATCTCAAGATTTTCCCCACCATGAGGTGACATGAGAGGATCATAAGCTCCAGAGTTTTGGAAGTAGTATCTGTCCACGGCCACCACCTCTCCAGATACCACAGGGCTCCTACACAGAGAAGTCAGATAAGAGACTGCAGGGCAACCCCAAGCACAGAGACAGAGCCGAGGTGGGGCTTCCCAGAGCAGGTTCAGTGAATGAGACAGCTGACCCTGGGGCTCTGAAGAAGCTCATCATTTTGAACCACAAGACTGGAGCAGAGCAACAATGTTTGAAATCCAAGAGTTTTATAAAGAGAACTATGTGCTGGAGAGATGGCTCACTGGTTACGAGTGTTCGCTGCTCTTCCAGAGGACCCGAGTTTGGTCTAGCAGCCATGTCAAACTGGTCACAGCTGCCCATAACTCTATCTGCCTACAAAACCTGCACACACAGCATGTTCTCACACAGACAATTAAATAAAAATAAGACTGAAGATTAAGGAACACTAGACTGGCCTGGGTCTTTGTAGCTCGTCCTTAGGCCTTTTTCTATAGAAGGGAGTAGTGATTGCACTGAGTCTCTCCAGAGAGGTGTCTGAGGAGAAGGTTCTAGCTAAAATAAGACACCTCAAGAGAGGCAGTTTCCAGGCCCAAACCAAAGGCTCTCTGTGGCTTGAGTGTGAAAAGTCTCCCATGGGCTCCTGTTTTGAACACTCTGTCCCCAGACTGCAGCAGTAACCTGAGAGGCTTGGAGCCCTTAGGAAGTGGGACCTCGCTGGGAGAAGGTTACTAGCAGTGGGCCTTTGAAGGTTAGACTCATCCCTGGCTCTGGTCTAGTTTCCCATCTGACCAGGGCGAACAGGCCACCACCACCTCAGGCACATGGAGAATTGACTGAGCCCCTCCTGCTGTCAAGCTGTCCTGCCATGATAGACTGAGACCTTTGGAACCATGAACCCTTCCTACCTTAAGTTGCTTCTGACAGGTGTTTCCTCAAATAAAAGAAAGGTAATGCACACAGGCTCTTCCTGCTTCTCTTCTCCCTGCCCCCTTCTTATGTTTTCTTTTTTCATCTATTCCCTCCCCACCTTTAAGATGAATCTAACAGGAGTTCTGTAGATGGGTTCCCACCCTTCCTGGGTGGAAACAAAATGGCTTATACATGCAGAGAATGGGAAACTCTGGGCAAGGGAATGGATGGGAATAACAGTTCTCAAAATGGCTTAATGCAAACTAGCTGTGGTGGTGCACATCTTTAATCCCAGCACTTGGGAAGAAGAGGCAGGAGGACCTCTGTGAGTTTGAGGCCAGACTGGCTGGGCAGATGTGGTGAGTTATAGAATAGCCAAGGCTATACAGTGAGACACTGTCTCAAAAAACAAAACAAAACAACAAAACAAACAAACAAAATAGTTCATAGCTGCAGTTTGTGGGGGATTGAAAACAGAAGTTCCATGCAGTGCCAGGCACCATCCTTGCCATATTTTAAATACAAAGCTGTACAGTTCTGTGGTTTGGGAAGTCCTTCTGTGATGCTTTTATTGGTTAATGAATAAAGAAGCTGCTTTGGCTTGTGATAGGACAGAGTAGAGATAGGCAGGAAAACTAAACTGAATGCTGGGAGAAAGAAGGCAGAGTCATAGACAAGCCATGCAGCCCCGCTGGAGACAGATGCCAGGATGAACCTTGCCAGTAAGCCACACCCACGTGTCAATACACAGATTAATGAAGATGGGTTAGTTTAGGATGTAAGAACTAGCCAATAAGAAACTAGAGCTAATAGGTCAAGCAATGAATGATTTAATTAATACAGTTTCTGTGTGGTTATTTTGGTTCTTTCTGAGTTCGCTATTCCTCTCTTATGTTTGTGGTGCTGCAGTATAGGAGTTCCCTCTGTTTGTGTGTTGCTTTTATTGAATAATGAATAAAGAAACTACCTTGGTCTAGTTGATAGAACAGAACTTAGGTAGGTGGAGAAGACAGAACTGAATTCTGGGAAAAAGAAAGCAGAGAGAGAGAACCACCATGGAGCAGCCAGAATCAGACATGCTGAATCTTTTCCGGTAAGCCACAACCTCGTGGTGATATACAGATTAATAGAAATGGGTTAAATCAAAATGTAAGAGTTAGCCAATAAGAGGCTAGAGATAATGGGCCAGGCAGTGATTTAATTAATACAATTTCTGCGTGGTTATTTTGGATGTAAGCTAGCCAGGCAGCCGGGACAAACAAAGGGCCACCCTCCTAGTGCAACATTGCCGTTGTTTTTCTCTGTTTCTGTTTGCTTCTCTGACTTTGCTTTGTTTTGGTTTTGGAGACAAGGTCTCACTGGGCAGCACAGGCTGGCATCAAACTCTCGGGTGTGACCACCAACCCCTGGCTCCTAGTGTGAGTTTTAATTCAGAATTTTTGGATTTTAGAAAGGAGCGTACATGACACACTGCCCTTCAGCTTTGGTTGCTGCACTTTGTGCGGTGCACTGACATTTCTTCAGTCAGGGTGTCACTGCTCTCAGCGTGGGCTCCACCACATCTGCATTATGACAACAAGCTTGGTTTTCAGAGGGTTTGGAATTTGTGGTTATCAGTTGTAGACTGCAGATGTGTACCAGCCACCCAGTTTAGTACATCAGGGAAATAACTGGTCCTAAGAGCCGGTTACCTGGATTTCCGCTGTCATAATGTTGGGAATTTAATCTTGGGCACAGTGGAGTAGAGACAGCCAGCCTGGCTGAGTCACTCCAGAGCTCATGACCCACAGAGTCTGGGAACCTGAAAAATAGCTGTAGTCTTAAACACTAAATTTGAAGTGGTTTGCTAGCTGGTAGAAAATTTCTTTAAAAAAAATACTTAAAAAGATAATTGTTCGGAAATCGAAACAGGACACAGGAGTAGCAACTTTCAAGGCTGGATCTATTTTCTTCCTTTTTACTGAGCAGGGACTCGAGACCAAGGTATTTGCTGTGTTATCTGGGGCCAAGGTCAGTCATCTTCCTCCTCATCCTCACCTTGGGCATCCACCGAAGCTTCTGGAAGGGTTTCACTGGACTCCATTGGTATCACAATGGTAGCAGCATTGCAGCTGGCTGACTGCTTTTTACACATTGGCTTGTTTGGTTTGCATACCCATCCCATATGCTAGGCACTGTCATCAGGAAATGGGGACTCAGGTGAAATGGGTCCCAGGTGTGGAGATCAGAGAAGCCCCTCACCTGATAGGGCTGATGGGGGATGGGAGGGCCTCCTGCTCCTGTTCCCTCAGGGGCTCCCATCGGAAATCCAGCTTCCAGTCCAGCACCCCTCGTTGCAGCTGCTTGACTGCAGAGTACTGAAACGTCTTCCAATCAATCACGTCTATGACTGGAGACACTACTCGGCTCCTGGAAAGAACGGAGGATAAACAACGATGCAGGCGACTCACTAGCTGGGGACAGGAACAAGGTCTATGTGATGTGTGGTCCAGGGCAGCAGGCATAGGCTGTTTGCCCCTGTCAGCCTTGAAGCTGTGCTTTGTCCCAGCTAAGAATCCCAATATAGAAGAGTTAATAGGAAAAAAGAATGTAAAAACTTTCAATAATTTTATATTGATTCCACACTGATATTGCATTTTAAATATGCTATGTTTACATTATTAAAATTATTTTCAGCTGTTTTTACCTTATAACATGACTGTTTTTATTAAACATGTGACCCATGTTGCATCTCGTCTGTATGGCTTTGCTATATCTGAAGGACTTGATGTACCTCCGACAGGACCCTGGGCAGTCAGAGTGGGAAACAACCTGGCCTGGTGCAGTCATTTAGCTCTTCCTAGAAACCTCCCCTTTCCTTTAGAAACCCCCTTATTTAGAGGTGTGATTCTCTGCCTTGCTTGGTTAGGTGTTAGAGCTGGCAGACAGAACAAGGCAGCTGGAAGCTGGATGCGGCAGATAGCCTTGGTCTTCCACATTGCAGCTCTATAAGGAAGCTGCCACTGGTCAGCAACCCCAGACCACCCCAAAGCAATTGTTTTGGTGTAGGATTGCTTTGCACAGTTATAGGGATTGTGTACCTACCACTCAGACCCAGAGAGCACCTCAAATATTGTACATATTATAAAATAACATATTTATTTTTACAATTTCCTTAAATAAAAGAAAAGGCTGAAACGTCTCATTCCAGAACTGGAGAGATGGCTCAGCTAGGAAGGGTGCTTGTGCCTCTTTCAAAGAGTCCAGGTTCAGTTCCCAGCACCCATGTCAGGAGCTCACAAGGCCCTTAATTTCATTCCGATCCAGAGAAACTGACATCCTCTTCTGGTCTCTGTGATCATAGAACACTTGTGCTACACATAAATACACATGCATGCACATATATACAAATACATGCATAAAAATAAATAAGCCTTTAACAGTAAGAAAGAAAACTGTCTTGTTATGATATAATCAGTGTATTCTGGCAAATGTTTGAGGAGAGAAAAGGATAGTGAGGCATAAACATTCAGACAAAGCTGCCCCTTGGCTAGGGCCAGAGCTAGCTCACTGTCAGGATCAGGGAACCAGGGCTGGTAATGGACTCCAGAGTCTGGGACCAGGCTGTAGAGGAAGCCATGACTCTGCAAAGCAGCTGCCTGGCTGCCACGCTGTCTGCTCTATACTCCTTCTGATCCTGGGTAATGAGAGCTCCTAGAGACTTTTCCTCCTTTGGAGACACTGGGTCCCCATCTGTTGAGAGAAAGTCTCCTGAAAGAGGCTGGAGAGGCACAGCCTTGCCCACCTTCTCTCTCAAAGCACAGTTATAGCTCTGGCACTCAGACCAGAGATGTTTCACTTTCACTAAGGTTTGCTGTGCTGTGCTGTGCTGTGCAGTGGTGTGGTGTGGTGTGGTGTGCTGTGCTGTGCTGTGCTGTGGTGTGCTGTGCTGTGCAGTGGTGTGCTGTGGTGTGGTGTGGTGTGCTGTGATGTGCTGGGGTGTGATGTGGTGTGCTGTGGTGTGCTGTGCTGTGGTGTGGTGTGGTGTGCTGTGCTGTGGTGTGGTGTGGTGTGGTGTGCTGTGGTGTGCTGTGCTGTGCAGTGGTGTGGTGTGGTGTGGTGTGGTGTGCTGTGGTGTGGTGTGCTGTGCTGTGCAGTGGTGTGGTGTGCTGTGCTGTGGTGTGGTGTGGTGTGGTGTGGTGTGCTGTGGTGTGCTGTGGTGTGGTGTGCTGTGCTGTGCAGTGGTGTGCTGTGCTGTGCTGTGGTGTGGTGTGGTGTGGTGTGGTGTGCTGTGGTGTGCTGTGGTGTGGTGTGGTGTGCTGTGCTGTGCTGTGGTGTGGTGTGGTGTGCTGTGGTGTGGTGTGCTTGCTGTGCTGTGGTGTGCTGTGCTGTGCTGTGCTGTGGTGTGGTGTGGTGTGCTGTGGTGTGCTGTGCTGTGCTGTGCTGTGGTGTGGTGTGCTGTGGTGTGCTGTGGTGTGCTGTGGTGTGCTGTGCTGGGCTGTGGTGTGCTGTGGTGTGGTGTGCTGTGGTGTGGTGTGCTGTGCTGTGCTGTGGTGTGGTGTGGTGTGCTGTGGTGTGCTGTGCTGTGCAGTGGTGTGGTGTGGTGTGGTGTGCTGTGCTGTGGTGTGGTGTGCTGTGCAGTGGTGTGGTGTGGTGTGGTGTGCTGTGCTGTGCTGTGGTGTGCTGTGGTGTCGTGTGCTGTGCTGTGCTGTGCTGTTGTGTGCTGTGCTGTGCTGTGGTGTGCTGTGCTGTGCTGTGGTGTGCTTGCTGTGCTGTGGTGTGCTGTGCTGTGGTGTGGTGTGCTGTGCTGTGGTGTGGTGTGCTGTGCTGTGGTGTGGTGTGGTGTGCTGTGGTGTGCTGTGCTGTGGTGTGCTGTGCTGTGGTGTGGTGTGGTGTGCTGTGGTGTGCTGTGGTGTGCTGTGCTGTGGTGTGCTGTGGTGTGGTGTGCTGTGGTGTGCTGTGCTGTGGTGTGGTGTGGTGTGCTGTGCTGTGGTGTGGTGTGGTGTGGTGTGCTGTGGTGTGGTGTGCTGTGGTGTGCTGTGGTGTGGTGTGCTGTGCTTTGCTGTGCTGTGGTGTGCTGTGCTGTGGTGTGGTGTGGTGTGCTGTGGTGTGCTATGGTGTGCTGTGGTGTGCTGTGCTGTGGTGTGGTGTGCTGTGCTATGCTGTGCTGTGCTGTGGTGTGGTGTGGTGTGCTGTGCTGTGGTGTGCTGTGCTGTGGTGTGCTGTGCTGTGCTGTGGTGTGGTGTCGTGTGGTGTGCTGTGCTGTGGTGTGGTGTGGTGTCGTGTGCTGTGCTGTGGTGTCGTGTACTGTGCTGTGCTGTGGTGTGGTGTCGTGTGCTGTGCTGTGGTGTGGTGTGCTGTGCTGTGCTGTGGTGTGGTGTGGTGTGCTGTGCTGTGCTGTGGTGTGGTGTGCTGTGGTGTGGTGTGGTGTGGTGTGCTGTGCTATGCTGTGCTGTGGTGTGCTGTGCTGTGCTGTGGTGTGGTGTTCTGTGCTCTGCTGTGGTGTGGTGTGCTGTGCTATGCTGTGCTGTTCTGTGGTGTGGTGTGGTGTGCTGTGCTGTGCTGTGGTGTGTTGTGATGTGGTGTGGTGTGCTGTGGTGTGGTGTGCTGTGCTGTGGTGTGGTGTGGTGTGCTGTGGTGTGGTGTGGTATGCTGTAGTGTGGTGTGGTATGCTGTGGTGTGCTGTGGTGTGGTGTGCTGTGCTGTGGTGTGGTGTGCTGTGGTGTGCTGTGCTGTGGTGTGCTGTGGTGTGCTGTGGTGTGGTGTGCTGTGCTCTGCTGTGCTGTGGTGTGCTGTGCTGTGGTGTGGTGTGGTGTGCTGTGGTGTGCTATGGTGTGCTGTGGTGTGCTGTGCTGTGGTGTGCTGTGCTGTGGTGTGGTGTGCTGTGCTATGCTGTGCTGTGCTGTGGTGTGGTGTGCTGTGCTGTGGTGTGCTGTGCTGTGGTGTGCTGTGCTGTGCTGTGGTGTGGTGTCGTGTGGTGTGCTGTGCTGTGGTGTGGTGTGGTGTCGTGTGCTGTGCTGTGGTGTCGTGTGCTGTGCTGTGGTGTGGTGTCGTGTGCTGTGCTGTGGTGTGGTGTGCTGTGCTGTGCTGTGGTGTGGTGTGGTGTGCTGTGCTGTGCTGTGGTGTGGTGTGGTGTGCTGTGGTGTGGTGTGGTGTGGTGTGCTGTGCTATGCTGTGCTGTGCTGTGGTGTGGTGTGCTGTGCTGTGCTGTGCTGTGGTGTGGTGTTCTGTGCTCTGCTGTGGTGTGGTGTGCTGTGCTATGCTGTGCTGTTCTGTGGTGTGGTGTGGTGTGCTGTGCTGTGCTGTGGTGTGTTGTGATGTGGTGTGGTGTGCTGTGGTGTGGTGTGCTGTGCTGTGGTGTGGTGTGGTGTGCTGTGGTGTGGTGTGGTATGCTGTAGTGTGGTGTGGTATGCTGTGGTGTGCTGTGGTGTGGTGTGGTATGCTGTGCTGTGCTGTGGTGTGCTGTGGTGTGCTGTGCTGTGGTGTGCTGTGATGTGGTGTGGTGTGGTGTGCTGTGCTGTGCTGTGGTGTGGTGTGGTATGCTGTGCTGTGGTGTGCTGTGGTGTGGTGTGGTGTGCTGTGCTGTGCTGTGGTGTGCTGTGGTGTGGTGTGCTGTGGTGTGGTGTGCTGTGCTGTGCTGTGGTGTGCTGTGGTGTGGTGTGCTGTGGTATGCTGTGGTGTGGTGTGGTATGCTGTGGTGTGGTGTGGTGTGCTGTGCTGTGCTGTGGTGTGGTGTGCTGGGGTGTGCTGGGGTGTCTTGTGTTGTCACGTGCTGTGCTGTGCTGTGGTGTGGCGTGCCATGCTTTGAGCAGATGTCAGGCAGCTCAGGAGAGCTTCTGGGCCTAGTCCTTGAAGAAACTGCACAGACTAGGAAAGGGGATCCTAGACTTGCCCAATGTTCAGTGTGCCACTGTGTGGAGTCCAGAGAGGATCACTCAGAGTGCAGATTTGGCTTTCTTTCATGCTCTCAGTGAGCTGGACAAGACGGTCCTGAGAAAAGAGAGTGGGCCAGGAGCCAGGAAGAGGCTGTGAGAGGACATAAATATGGTGGAATCCCAGAGAGCAGTGATGAGAAGACCATATCAGACACCCAAGACCAGAGCTTCTGGGGGCGGGCCAGAGAAGTAACAGGATTGTCAGAAGAGAGGCTCCTGGAATTTCTGAGGGTGTCCTGTGAGTAGCAGCCAATGCCCTGCTGCATACACCTGCCTCTGCCTACAATGAGGACTATGGGGCTCTGAGGGGCACTCATGTGGAAACTGACAGGAAGGAGATCCGTGTTTAGCATCCCAGCACCAGGGAAAGGGTAAGCAGGACCATTTCTCTTTGAACAGCCTCAGTGGTTCTGAAGGAGAGCTCATACTCAGTACCAGACAGCCCGAGAAGACATCCGTCCTTCACACCCTTCACACACGGTTTCACCTCTCTGGGTCTCAGTTTCCCTCCTCGCAAAACAAAGCATGAACACCTGCCTAAGCCTCTCCACGGATCAGGAATGGGAGTTGCTGAAAAGTGGGACATGAGTCAACAGCATTGCTTAGTTCCCAAAGAGATTTTCAACATGAGATCATGAGGTAAGGCAAGATGATCTCCAAGGTGCTCCCGAGTCACCCGTCTGTGACAGCAGGGTAGGGATTATTCACAGTGAATGGTCTGGAAATCTGATCTGCAAGGGATTAGGATTTTGAGGGAGGTGGTACTTGGAACAGAATCAAAGAAAGCCTCCTTTTAGGCTTGGTGAACTTTCTTGTACTCAGTCTGTTGCTAAACTTAGTACACAATTCCTTTCTTTAGTGGGCTATGGGCCAAGAATAAGTGGAGATGTCCATCATGGAATTGGGACAAATGGTTCTGTCTTGGCTTAGAAATTTTTCTCTACTGTGTGATCACCCCAACTTAATGAGACCAAGCATAGAGTGCAAGAACAAGAACCAGGAGCTCTGGTTCTGACAGTTCCATCCAGCTGGGAGCCAGGAGGTCCTACCGTGGCTCAGGCCAGCTTGAGGGCATGGGTGTTGACTGGGTGAGCCTCTCCCCACACTCCTAGGGGAGCTAGTTACCAGGGTTAGGTAACTGAATACGATAGTCATATTGAGGGGCATGACGGATAGGTCAGGCTTAGGAAGAAGTGGAGATGAGAAAGAGGGAGTGGAAAAGATAGCATGATAGGGTCAAAGCAATGCTAACTTGTGGGATGTAGTATGACCCTCTCAGTTCCACATCCCCCAGGGCTCAGTTTAGTTAGAAAATTAGGAGCATTGTGGACACTACAGAGGAGTAAAGAAAGTTAGTTGTTGGGAAAACCAGTGATGGGGAAATCTAATGCCTTCTCCCTGGGCATAGGTGACCTGTGCTCTAGGCTGGTTTAGGAATTTGTTCCCCCAACAGAAGCTGGCAAAGTCGGGGAGTCATGGCAGGCATGGAGTGTTCTGCCCTTCCTATGCAGCTTAGCCGGACTGGTGTGTGCCACCCTTCCTATGCATCTTAGCAGGACTAGTTCATTTAGACATTGTAGAAGCTGTTTTCTAGCCTTCCTTCCAACGGTAACTCCCCACACTTCTTACAACACCCAACTGTCTGGAAATCCCAAGGAATAGCGATCAGTGGAAACCAAGGTGCTTCTCAAAGGGTGGATAGATACTCTGTTCTTAGAGTAACTGTGCCTGGGCTGTCTCTCCCAGACCCACTCCTTGCTTTGAAGGTCCTGGGTGGAATGAATTACCTGTCATCAGCTATTCTGCTGAGGAGAGGCTCCAGCCATCCAGGGTGGCACTCACAGTGGGCATCCATGAAGACCAGCACATCCCCTGTGGCCATGGTGGCCCCCAGCATCCGGGCTCCGATAGTGCCAAGCCTCTTGTTGCTCCTGAGCAACTTCACAGCCTCCAGCCTGGCCACATAGTCACTGAGAGCAGACTTCAGTTGTTCTGGAATCGACAGGGTCCTGTCAATGGGGGTCGTGGATGCCACAGGACTGTGATGAGCATTGCAGACTTAGAGACCCCAGTGGGTACCAGATTCTGAGCCTCCAATGTGTTACTAACGGTGGTCATTTCTAAAGTTTGGGATGGTGCATAATTCTCTGTATTAGCCAACAGGGTGGAGGAGTGGAAAACCAGGAGAAAACTGCAACTGAGATCAAGACCACCGCGCAAGAAAACCACTTGCTCTTACATTCCAGTTTTAGCTCCCATCCAGAGATCCCCGCTGAAGACAGCAGACAAGAAGCTTAAGAACAGAGGGTCATGAAACTGCAGCTGGCAGCCACTGAGGTGTTTTCTCAGAGGTTTCACCCCGTGGCAGGATGAGTCTGAGAAGAGGATGTAGAGGAGATTAGAAACCACGGGCACTTCCAGCTGTGGGTTTTGGACAGATGCAAAGGCTGTGGCTTAGCTGCTAGCCAAGGATCCAGAAGGAAGGATCAAGTAGGAAGGGCTGAAGCTGAGGACTTGGGAGGAAGCTTGTCTTAGGTTTCTATTGTTGTGATAAAACACAATGACACAATAAATTACTCACAGTGGAGTATCTGTTCCCTTGTCACCTGAAGCTCCACAACCGGGGAACCTTGTCTATGGCCTTGAACTCTTTCTTTTAGGGAACTCCCCCTCCCTCTCATCTTGTCCTTCCCTCCTCCCTTCTGGCTGAAGGCCAACCACTCCCAGTGATCCAGAAGCCAACTTCAGTTACCTTGCTGGCTGAGGTCATCTACAATGATGATCTCCTGCAGCAAGGCCTTGGGTGCTGTGTCCAGGATGCTGTGTACGGTTCTCAAGAGCAAGGGCCAGGCTTCATCATGGAAGCAGAGAATGACGCTGGCTGTAGGCAGGCCATTTGCAGGGTGCTGCTGTAGACACCTGCAGAGGAAGAGAGTTAGGGAGCCCCCAAGGAGGCGATTCTTCAGAGAAGTCAGCCCAGGCCCCTCACTCCTCAACCCTGGCTGGCCCACTACAGCCACATCACTGTTACGATTCGGTGGCTCTCCTGGGATTTCATCAAATAGCCAGCCACATAGAGATCCCCACACATTACAACTGCATTTTCTAACTCTCGACCTCAGATGTCAGAGCTCTGCTCTGCTGAACCCAGCACCTTAAAAAAAAAAAAAAAAAGCTGATGCTTCATGGAATAATATCTATCTGAGAAGTTAAATATCTGGTTTAGTTTGTAATTTTTTTATCTTGTGATAATTTAAGACTCCCAAGAAGTTACAAACATTGTACAGTTAAACCTGGTGTGAAAAAATAAACATATGAGCGCGAATCGTCAATTTTCTAAGTTTTTGATGCTCTATCGTCAATTTTGAAATCATCACCAAAACAAACAAAATCATCCTCAAGATAAACAAAATAATCTTAACATACCCAGAGGGAACTGTCCTCCCTATAAGGTTTTGGGATTGGACAAAGAGTCGTTTGTATAGCTGGTAAGTGACCTGGCTCCAGGACCCAGCAACAGAGGTAGCAGCCCACTAGGGGTAAGATTAAGGGTTATACACTGCTTGCTAGTCAGTACCACGCGAGAAGCCAGGCTTCTCTGGTCGCCATGCCTTTCCAGTCGTGGTCGACTTAATCCCATGAACCGTGAGCCAAAAGAAACTCAAATATGTCCCCCTTCCTTATGGTGCTTCTGTTAGCTTTTCAGTCGTAGAGATGAGAAAAGTAACCACTGCATCCAGCGTTAGTAGGGTTTTACGGGGTGGGGGGACACACATGCCTGGAGGTCAGAGAACAGCTTGCTGGAGTTCTCTCCTTCTTCCATGTAGGTTCCAGGGATTGAGCTCATGTCTTTGGGCTTGGCGGTGAGTGCCCTTAACAGCTATACCGTTTTTCTGGCCTTGCTCAGTGCTTGGAGGTATCAGTTTCCTTATTTTAAAAAGTAGGATGATTTTTTCCTACTTGAGCCTAGTGTGAGAAAACAGTGCAAGCGTGAGTGCTCCGTCATCAGTTTGTCAGTCATGGTTTATATACGTATGTATGTATTTATTAATTTGTCAGTGCTGCATGGAGCTCACTTGCTTAGGGGAGTGCTCTACCACTGAGCTACATGGCTAACCCTTATTATGTAATATATGTATGTATGTATGTATATATGTATGTATGTATGTATGTATGTGATAGGTCTTACTATGTAGCTTAGGCTAGTCTTGAAGCCCCAGGCCTCTTGCCTCAGCCTCCCCAGAGGTAAGATCACAGCATGGACCACCATGGTTGTTGAATACTATTATTTTGTTGTTGTTGTTGTTGTTATTATTATTATTTGTCTGTCCTGGAACTTGTTTTGTGGACCAGGCTGTCCTTGAACTCACAGCGATCTGTCTGCCTCTACCTCCCGAGTGCCAGGATTAAAGGTGTGCGCCACCACCACCAGGCCAAATACTGCTATTTTACCAACTGCTCTGCAGCATGGACCCTCACTGGCCACTTCCATGTTAGGGTTCCCTTCTCCTCAGGACGGAAATGCCCACAGATGCCATTGCAGAGCTTTTGTGAGCAGCAAGTCCCACAGGTGCTTAGCATCAAGTCAGGGACACAGCTGCAACCCCTTTGGAGGAGGCGGTCTCTCTGTTCTAGCCTCCTTCAGACAGTTGTCACTGTGGATTCTGCAATCAGGAGCTATGAAAGAGCTGAACATTCAGGCCACTGACTTCTGTTTGATCTCCCAGAGCATCCTCTGTAGCACGGAAGTCTCTCCGTCACCGGCCAGCTATGCAGATGACCCTGGACTTGTTGCTTGTTTTAGATTGTGATGATCTCCTGATGGGAACGATAACACCAGCTTACAAAGGTCGCTGTGAGGTTGAGTGGCCCTCGTAAAGCCCCAGGAAGGACATGTCTGCTGCTGTCCGTCTCCATAGCCATGCTTCGAGAGCTGCTGCAAAGGCCCTTTCGGTCTTGGGATTTGCTGTTCTTGCTTTTTGTTCTATTTTTTTTTTTTTTTTTTTGGTTTTTAGAGACAGTCCCTCACTGTGTATCCCTGGCTGTCCTCAAACTCATTCTGTAGACCAGGCTGTTCTGGTACTCACAGAGATCCACCTGCCTCTGCCTTCCAAGTGCTGGGATTAAAAATGGCTTTTGTTCTTGATTCTTTAAGGTCCCTTTTCTAGCAGGCAGACACTCTGAGAAGGTGCGATTTCAAAGAGTGTCCTGTTTCCAAAATTTCTGAGTTTGATGACCAGGCCTAAGTATATTTTTTTTCTTCACAGTGAGAGAGGTGGTGGGGAGATGGATGGGCAGTATGAGTGGCTATACCATATAGGCAGACACGGGTTCTATTGGTTTGATGGGCAATGAGCGTAGGCCCCATCACAACCAGGAGGGTCTCCTGCGACCATGTGGACAGGCTCTACCTCCTCTCCAACGAAGAAGTTCTCACAGTCTTCAGGATTCACACAGGCCACATGGACCACCTCCTCAGGTACTAGGAAGCCAGAAGACCACCGTGGACTGTTTGGGTGTATCACGGAGGACTAACAGAACTCTGAGAGGGCTCTGCCTATGGGGCGTGTGCAGGCCCAGCTCCCTCAACACACCTCTTCAATGCAGAACCAAATATTGTGAATTAAACACTGGCAGAGTCCTGTGGCTCAGAGCATACCAGATGGTTCTAGGAGGAACAGAAATCTATTAATTTGCTCCTGGTGGCCAGAGGGTCTGAAGAAGGGGCCCATGGGCGAGGCAAGCACAGTGGCCAGAAGGGGGGTCAAGTTCATGTGCAGTTGGAGTGGGTTTATGGGCCTAGGGATGAGCTCAGTCCACTATGGGCATCGAGAGGAGCCTCACTGTGCCCATGGCTGGTGGCGCAGTGGAAACGGTGTAACACAGCCAGACTCCACTTCCACTCACTTTGCTGAGGGCATCTTAGGAGTTTCATCCTGTATAGCCAGCAGAGAGGAGACCAAGGGTAGCCACAGGCTTCAACTCCTGGGCCATTCCCTTCTGAGATTCAGAAAAGTGAGGTCACATCTCTGAGGACCGCACTTCCTCCAGTTGTCTCCAAGTCATCTGCTGTTTTAGTAACTCATCCCCCTTTAACAGTTCTTTTGATTCATTAGTTCTTCCTGAATATGCAATATATATATAACCTCAACTTCCTCATCCATAAAACGGGGTTATGGGAAGGAGCCAGCGAATCATGCCCCAGGCATCACAGGGAACTGAATGGACTTAGTGCTGTCTGCCTGACCGCACAGCTACCAGCAAAGCTTCCCTTCCCCATGCCGATCCTGACTCAGAAGAAGACACCCCTCTCCAGCTCCCCTCTACTTTCAAGGCTGGGGACCACTAGTGCAATTAAACCCCTGGTTTTCAGTCTGGCTGCATGCTAGAGCCACTTTCCTTGGATGAATCAAATATGAGGCGGGGCACAGAATCCAGATGTCTGTGTTCTAACACACATGGTAGGCAAACAAACCGCGCACATTCTTAGGACTCGCTGGTGTAGCCCCTGGCTGTGGTAAGTAGGGCCTGTGGACCACTGCAGCTTAGCATCTCAGGCGGCAGCCCCAATCCCCTGAATCCAGCTCTGCCTGCCAATGCACTGCTCTAAGTTCAAGGACCCCTGCTCTGGCCAATCTGGCCCAGAGAGTTGAATTTGAACAGGGTTCCCATAGCATCTTCAGAGCAGCTGTAATGCCCAGGAGCCCATGGAGGATCCTGGACCTATGACAAGCCTTCTGGGTGCAGGGATGGCAACACAAGTATTAAACACAGAGTGGCAGAGCCCCGGGCCTGGACTTTGACTGCAAAAACGCTGCCTCCCTGGGAGAGTCTTTGATAAGGCCCCCTCCTTATCTACTCTGGAAGCCAGGGCAATCAGAAAGGCAGTGGAGGTGGGGTAACTGGGAGAACTTTGCAGGCTGTCAGTGATGTGGGACACTAGTAAGCAGGACACATGTAACTCTTGGTCCTCAGTGCCAGCAGTTTCAAGGTCTAGTTAACCCCATGCCTCACTCAGCTTCTGGCTCCCATCAAGGGTCTTTCTCTTTATACTGCTTGTGTGTTTTGGTGTGTGGGTATGGGTGTGTGTGTGTGTGTGTGTGTGTGTGTGCATGTGTGTATGCGCGCACATGTGTTTGTGTGTGTGTCCCTTCCCCATAGTACAGCCATCACAGTGAGTTTGAACCGTCCTGTAAAGCGTGGTGGTATGCACAGTTTACACTCTCCCGTGGATGTTGCCTTGGGGGCCTCTGGGTCTGGCTTTTGCCCTCAGCAGGATCTTTACAAGGCGCCCTTGAAAATGGATGAGTCTCTAGAGCAGCTATAGTGCCCAGGAGCCCATGGAGGATGCCTGAACCTGTGACTTCAACAAGCTTTCTGGGAGCTTGGATGGCTCCGTAAGTATTAAGCCAGATGGGCATTGTTGTAGGTTGCGTGTAGCCCTCCAGCATCCCGGATGAGACATTGGGTAACTTCAGCTCCTAGGTGCCACTGTGGGCACTGTGGTAGTCATCAGCCTATGTGCTCTCAGGGCCGAGGGAGGTGGCTGGCTTGAAGACTGGCAAGCTTAAATGCTCGCAGCCTAGGTGACTTGCCCAGGTTTGATCTGGGAATTGGCAGATCCAGAGTCCATCGTGATGGCATCAAACAGGCGGTCAGGTCACGTGGCACCACTCCATTCACCTCTCTACATCTTGATCTCTCTCATTCATAAAACGAAACCCGCTGCACAGATCTGTGAAGCTGATTGAGGAAGTGAGCCCCACTCACTAGAGTCTCCAGGGTGTATTAAGTGTCCACTAAAAGCTCACTAGAGTTTTGCCTCTCTTTCCTGAGACGTTTGTTCTGAGGCAGGGTCTCACTGTGTAGCCCAGGCTGTGCTCAAACGCACAATGCTCCTGCCATAGCCTTGCTTTGCCAAGCGCTGGAGGCAGAGGCGTGCACCATCATGCCTGGTCCCAGAGCCTGTCTTTTGGCTCCATTTACACTAATATTTTACTATTTCCATCTTGTATTATCGGTGATTGTCCTGAATGCCTCCTATGCAAACTGACCTCCAGCCATGGTCCCAAAGGAGATTTGGAACCTAGCAAGGGGACTGACAAACGCCAGGGCAGGGCGGGGTCTGGGTGAAGGTTAGAAGGATGTGTCTGGGTTAGGAGTCAAGGAGCTCGCAGGAAGCCTGGAGACTGGAGGAGTGTGGGAGAGAGGACACAAGAGGCCCTGGGAGGAAAGCTCAGGGCCCCACACAACAGACAGATGCTTATATGCAGCATTTCTTGTCTTTCCATCCACTGGAAGGTGGAGGGAAGGAGAGCGCTGCCAGCTTGGATAGAGGATAGGGGTTTCGCCTGGCTTTGCAGGAACTCTTGGGTATCCAGGAGCCTTCTGTGGGCTGGGAGATCTGGGGTCTGGTAGCAGATGGGAGCTCTGGCAGCACCAACCGCACTCGCTGATGACAGCCAACAGAGGGCGCTGTCCACCGCTACATAGCGCTGGTAACTACGAAAACCCTGGGATGGAGAACCCAATTATGTGTTTCCCTTGAGACAGAGAGGTTTCTTGACTGCCAGAGTCTTTCAGGGTTAAAATGGTCCAGACAACTGAAATGCAGTGATTACCATGGAGGGAAGAAAGAGCCAACAAAGTGTATACAAATGTACAGACTTGTTTATGTCTAACACAGCAGGTGTATCTGTATCTGCTTGTACCACCAATCCTCCCCCCAATTCACACACGCACATCACACAACAAAGCAACACACTCGAACACAAGCACATGACTATTGCAAGAAACATTTTACAATACAAAGACCACACATGTGCCCCGTATAGCATGGAAAATAAACAGTTTTATGATGTATACGTATGTACAAAGGCGCAGTACGTGTGCACATCACATCAAGCACACAGCACATACTATAGGTATGTGCAGTCTACTCATGTGCCACACATCTACACCTGTGCATGGCACTTGTGCCATGAGAGGCACCCACTTTGTACTACACTCACAACATACCATTTACTATTACTACATCATAAATGCATAACACATACACATCTGTCTCACACACAGTGCACATAGAACACATTTACAACACATAAAGTACTTACAATACATACACTGGCACTATGCACACAAAGGCACATAATACATATAAAACAGGCACAGCACAGCACACACACATACTACATAAACACATAGAAGACAAACACACATCAAACACACACAGTTCCACATAATACATGCTCCAACGCACAATAGATACCCTGCATACATAGGTATGCACTGTACACATCAGCAAACATCCACAACAAGCAGACACACATGACGCCATACCTATATAGCTCACACCTGTGCCCTATGATGATGGGTGGTATGACCACCACACACAGCCTGCATGGACAAAACCCCAAACTACTATACACAGGTACTACATACAACACACCTTTATTTAGTATACATAGCATAATATGCACCCCACACATGGTGCATGCGCAGTGCATATGTGCACATGCACACGCGCAGTTCACACACGAGTGTGCATATGCAGCGTGCTCTGGAGACAGAGTCACACCCACATCCCCAAAGCCAGAGCCAACGTTTCTTTATTCTGTTTACAGAATAAAGTCCTTCCCATTTTCTCTCAGCCAATGACAACACGCATGGACAGAGCTGGAAAGTTGCTCCTTCGTCCAGCACTCATTTTCGTACAGGGAGCTGTGTGCTGGCTGCTGAGACATGCAGTGCGCAGCTGTGCTGACCTTCTGCAGGCTTTCGGCACAGTGGCAGAAGCAGGCACGGCACAAACAAACACGGTGATGGCTATTTAGTGTCTGTTCTATGGCGTGCTGTGAGTTCAGAGGGAGCCTCAAACTGGAGCGGGGGAGGGGTTCTGGACAGAACTTTTAAAGCCAGGGTGTGAAGTCGGCATCACAGAGCTGGGACTATGGGCAGGCGAGTGCTCCAGGATGCACAACCTCAGGAGATCTGGGCTCTTAGGTAATCAGTGACGGGGGCAGCCAGGCTGAGAGCAGTCAGGGGTCCAGAGTCTCATGGCCCTGCTCCCAACTGTCACTGCAGTGTGTCCTTTCACTTCCAGGGGTAGAAGATAAGCTTGCTTTCCAGAAACTCAGTGGGCTGTGGAGTCGTGGCTTCTAGGGCAGGTCCCAAGGCCACTCTGGCTGTCCAGCTACACTGTGTCTGGATTTGGGTAGGCAATCTCTTGCCTGTGTCTGGCTGTCCATGGTGGGAGGGGAAGCAGGGGCTAGAGAATGAACCACCACCATCTCCCTGGGTACAGATCTGGAAGTCACAAACACTTCCCACTCCTGGGGTGGGGCACCCAGCAGGCTGAGCTGGTCAGTACAGTATATGAGCTCCCAGGCATGGGAACTGTTCTTTTCTTGATGGGATGGGAGAGGGTGGTAGAGGGTGGTGCTTCAGGCCCGACTGGTGCTTAAATGCCTGAATTCGAATTCCTACTTTGAAGCTTATCAGCTGTGTGACAGTAAGAAAGCCATGGGGCCTCTCTGTTCCTTGCTTTTTACCGTACAAACTAGGCATGAAGCTAAAGTAATGCAGAGAACTTTCTAGGGCCTTCTGGGTTGCATGCAGAAAGCTTAGATTAAAACCAGACACACGGCAAGAAGTAAATAAGCATTTCTTACCATGTTTGCAGTTCCTTATTTGATCCCAGATAAAGGCAAACACTAATAATAAACCAATATGAGAAACTGAACGTCCAGCACGAGAGCTGGGAGGACCCTTGAAGAATTGTGCTTCCATCTCCCTATTAAAGCCTCGTGACCCAGGGGCATTAGCAGGGGGACTAGACCCTAGGACTGGGAAGAGATTGTCTCTCCTTCAGGACTTGTTAGAGGCAGATCTGTGGATCTGAGGCATCTGGCTGAGCAGGTCTGAGATGGGATTTAAGGATCTTTAATTTTATCACTTCATCAGCAAAGCTGATGGGGACCACATCTCAGGGGCCGCTGTCCCAAGGATGGGAGAGGCAGGTGACAGATAGTCAGCACCCCTGACTTTGCTATCCCTGAATCACACAGTAGACCAGAGAAGGGAATGCAGGGGTCTTACTTACATCGGGTGCCGCACCTCAGGCAGAACTCTCCTCGGGGACAGGTAGTCACTGAGTGCTTTGTTGAGGTCTGTGTCCAGGCTGAGTAGGGTCAGCGACTCCTCTGAGTCCTCCCCATCTTCCTCAGTCCTCCAATCCCTCTCAGGGGCTTCCTCATCCCGCCTCCTGCTCGGGTGTTTGATGAACTGGTAGCTGCCCCGTCTCGGGTGCTGGCTCTGATTCCTCTTAGCCACAACCACCAGCAATTGATCCTCCTGCAGGGAGATGAAGGGCAGAAGGCCATCCAAGAAGCTGTACTCCTCACTCTCGTCTTCAGCCTCCAGAACCCATTCTTGGGAGTCCCCATAGTCCAGGCGATACCCAGTGTCAGAACTGTGTTTGCTGGCTTGGGTTGTGACAGCCTGGTGCAGCGTGGGCGGGGGAGGATACAGCATGGTCACCATCATCAGGACACATCCGAGTGTCAGCAAGAGCAGGAGGAACTGAAGTCTGCAGCGTCTGTTCCTGGGTCTCTTCCTCAGGAGCATGTCGCAGCCACTTGCCCAGAGCAGCAGGTCCTGATCAGGTCAAGCTTGTCATTGAGTCTGGGCTGTTCATTGCAGCCAGTCACCTGCTCCTTTTATTCCATCTAACACTTGCCAACAGCAGTGGTAGGACCCACTTCCCTTGGAACCAGAAAGCCACAGGAGCCTGGGGCTGCCCCTGGTCCTCTCTGGATTTTGTCAATTGTCTTCTGAAAAGGGTCTCTGGTCGTGTTGCTTGCCCCTTCTCACCCTGCTCTTGTCCATTCTGCTCTGGTGGTTAGTCCCGTGTTTCTTCCCCCCCTCTGCATGAATGGTAAGGTTCTAAGGGATGTCTGGGGCGAGTGGCTGGGGATTCAGTCAAGCCAGGATGACAGACATCCTCCTTTGGACGCCTCGAGTCAGGCCAGACCAACAGACGTAAAGCCTAAAGCCGGCAGGCACTGCCCCGTTTCCTTTCACACATAGCTCCAGCTCTCCACGAACCCTCTGCCAGACACCATGGGAGCCAAGCGTGAGTCTCGCTCCTGGTCCTAATGCCCTCACTGTTCCAGGCTTTGCACAACCACAAAGCATCACCCTGAGAGCCAGTCCAAAACAGCATCCTCCCTGGAGTTCAGACTTGAGCCTTATTCACAGGGAGGCATCCTCTCCCCGCCCAGAGGAGCAGGAAGGAGAATTCCGCCCTGGCTCAACAGGCTGCCAAGGTGATGCAGATGCCAGGAGCCAGTTGTTGGTCAACACCTTCAACCTCCTGCAACAGTCCCGGCTATGCTGTGCTCTTTCCTGGTGTCCACTAGCCTTGCCTTTCTAAGGGTGAGGGGCTGAGGGAGCCCTTGGAAGTCTGGCCTCCTGAACCTCCCAGAGCACTTGGAGGCTGGCAGAGAGGCATGCTTCAAGCTTCCGGTCTTCCAGCTCTTCTCAGCTCACACACGTGTAATGAGCAGCTATTATATGCCCCCAAACTGCTTTCTGGACCAGGAGTACAGCACGAAGATAGTCGAGCTGGGACCTCGTAGTGCTTCCATGGCAGTGAGGGAGACAAAGAGATGATCCATTAGAGTATGAAAGACCAGGGAGAAAAGAATGAGATAGAGAGAGAGAGCTGGGAATACGGGCCGGGGGCTGAAAACCGATCTTAAGTGGTACCGCAGTTTTCCTAGAAGAGCCAGAGTCTGTGTAAGGAGGATAGCCGGGCAGAAGAAATAACACAGGTGAGGTTCTGAAATGAGCAAGCCTGGTGTGTGGAACAGCAAAGAGCCAGAGTGACCAGAACAGAGCAGGCCAAGCACAGTATGATGGGGCATGATGGGAGACGGGGCACAAAGGGAGATGCTGAAACAATGAGAGCCTGAGCTCAGAAGGAGACAGAGCATGGCCGGAGGTGGAATAAGGAGACGTGACACACGCTGGGAGATGGGGCATGATGGGAAGTGGGGTACAACAGGAAATGGAACATAACTGGAGGAGTAACAATGGGAGACAGCCCTCAGTAGGAGGTAGAGCATTATGGGAGGTGGAGGGCAACCAGAGGCAGGGCAAAGAGAGGGAGTATGGAACAATGGGAGTCCAGCAAAAATAAGAGATGGAACATGGCTGTGTGACAGACACGTGTCTACTCACCCTAGAAAAGGAACCCACGACTGACCAAAGTTATGACTGCACCAAGGTCCAATTTGGTGGGTCAGTGAGTCATTTTTGGGATCATAGGAGGAGGAGGATGCAGAAAAGCAGCTGCACCTTTAAGAGGCACACCCCAACATGAGTGACAGCGGCCACACTTAGCTCTTTGTACAGCATGCAGGCAGCTCCGGGGTCCAGCAAATCTCTGCAGCTCTACTGACCAGTATCCTTCCCAGAGGGAATCCCCAGGGAAGGACCCCCGAGAATCTTCCAAGTTCCCACTTTCCTAGACATGTGACCTTTTGATTCCTGTCTGGACTTTCCCCTTCCCTAGGAATGGTTTCCATTCAAGAGAAGTGGGGCCTGACTGTGCGTGGAGCTCAACGGGAAGTGACGAGCGTGGTGTGACGGGGGGGGGGGGGGAGGGGGGAGGGTGGAGAGGAGGTGGTCACTACACGAGACCACAGGGAGCAGGGGTGGGGAAGGAGGAAGGATATCTCAATGGGGCATGGAAAGGACCTTGGCTTTCCCTCTGAGTGAGATGGGAGCCTTTGGAGACCTAGGGTGGAAGAGAGACAGTCTGACTCGGGTTTTAACTGAATCCCTCTGCCTGTTGGATTGAGACGACAAAGGACAGAGGCAGAGGAAGCCATCACTGGTGAAGCTCAAAGTGACACCAACAGAGGGGAGAAGTGAAGAGCAGCAGATGGATTTTAAGAAAGAACCTTTATTGTGTAGTGATAACTCTGGGATGAGAGAGAGAGAGAGTCGAGTCACGGAAGGGTTCCGTGAGAAGTTGAAGGAAGGTGGGGAGCAGGTGGAAGGAGAATAGCAATGGATTTTCTGGGGACAGGTGACATTGGCAACGTCTGGCAGGTGGCCAAGGGTAGTAAAGTGTAGGCTGTGAGATCCATGCCCACTCGGTCTCCTGGATGGCAGCAGGGAGGGCCAGCTTGCAGCAGTGACACTTCATACTCAGTCACATGGAGACGGCGATGGGGACTGAGGTCCGAGGCTGCTGGGGGCGTGTGAAGGCCACAAGAGAAGGGATCATCCTAGCTTCATCTCTGTGGTTTCGATAAAATAGCATGATAGAACGCAGCTTAGAGGGAAAAGGAGTTTATTTAAATTTATAGTTCCAGGTTATATCCATCATGGTGGGGAAACCAAGGCAAGAACACTGTGTGATCCTGGACAAGCCTCTTAATCTTTAGTTCACAGGGCAATTGCTACCCCTCCCCAGTACTTTGAGCATTGATGGCATACATACTGCATACTGCTTGTAATATTCAGATTTTGCCTAAGAAGTTAAAATTTTTATTGTGTGTGTGTGTGTGTGTGTGTGTGTGTGTGTGTGTAGCTTGTGGGGATTTGTTCTGGAGACTGAACTTGGGTAGGGGTTGCCAGGCTTGGTACCAAGTCACCAGCTGAGCCATCTCAACAGCCCATGACTGAGCAGATCATACAGGACTTCCAAACTAGGCAATAGAAAAAAACGTGAGAAGATTCCTCCTGTCTGTATTAGTTACTGCCTTGCCATTGTAACAAATACCCAAGGAAAGCAGATCAAGGCAGCAAGGGTGTGGAAAGAGAGGGATGTGAACCACCTGGGGAAGATGCTTATTTTTGTCTCAAGGTGCCAACACCCCCTTAAATGCTGCACCATCCAGAACATTCCATGTAGAAGGACGGAGTAAGTTGTCTTCTGCCTGATTTGCTTCAGTGCAGGGTGTCTGTAAGGTTGAAAGCCTCATGAAGAAGCCCTGCACTGGCTCTCCTGTCTCCTCTGCATTTTGCCCCATGGGATTGACCAGCAGCTGAGTAGATCTAGGCTCTTCCTGGTTCTCAAAGAAACCGGCTGCAGCTGCCTACATGGAATCATGAAGGAGTTAAAGCTCCTTCCCTAGTGCCTGAGTCTCCTAATGAGCTGTTAGCATCTGGCACAATCTGGCTCCATAGTTGTGATCTGAGGATTTCCAAAAACTGTTTTGGGAGCTGGAAAGTTTCCCAGAGACCCAGAAGTGGGGTTACGTATCCTGAGCCTTCAGCCCCTCGCTATACCTGTGATTCCAGAGCCTATGCTGCACTTGATAAACCTTCCCAAACTGATGGAGAAAAGTCAAGAGGGGTACAAAGTGCTGATTAGGCCCAACAGGCTGCGATTTTACATGTATGTAAAGTGCTTACACTTCCAATGTGATACTCAAGGGATTTTTGTGTATTATGGAAAAAAAACAAAAAACAGAATATTTCTATCACTGTACAAAGTTTCCTGTCCAATCAGTAACACCTCACCTACTAACTCTATGCCACCACTCACTACTGATGCTGTCCCTCCAGGACGGTGTTTACTGAAGCCCCATCTCCAGCTGGATGCTGTTTGAAGTAGGGAATCCTTGGGAGTAATTAGGTTTAGAAGAGGTCATGAAGGTGGATCTCCAAAATGTGATTCACACTCTTACAAAAAGAGGAAGGGACAAAAACACACCCCCTTCCAACAAGAGGCCTTTGATCTACAAACCAGGAAGAGAGCCCTCACCAGGCTCACATCTGCCCACAGCTTGGCCTCTAGTCCACTGCTTTTTTGTTAAAGCAGCCTGAACTGCCTAAGACACTATTATTCTGACCTTGCTTTAGTCACACTTCTGTGACAAAAAAAATGCCACAGTTTTAGAAGCTAAAACTCAAAGGTCAAAGCTTTGGTCAGCTTAGTTTCCTCAGGTCCGATCTCTTTGCATCTTGTAACTTGCAGAAGGCCCTCCTCTCTCCATCCTCACAGGGTATTTTGTCTTAATTGCTTTTCTGTTGCTGTTTTAAAACCCCGTGACAGAAACAGCTCAGGGAAAGAAGGGTTTGGCTCCCAGTCCCTGGGAACATCAGCCCGTTGTGGCAGGGACAGCATGGGGACAGGAGCATGGGGCAGATGGCCACATTGCAGATGTAGTCAGAAGCAGAGGGGGAGGAATGGGTGCTGCTGTTCGGTTTGTTTCTCCTTTTTCTGTAGTCCAGGATCACAGCCCAGGGAATGACACTATCCACAGTGGACAGGACTTCTCTCTAATAGCCTAACCAAGACATTTCCTCACAGGCATGTCCAGAGGCCCGGATTCTCCGAGGGTCTATTGGATGACTGAGAGTAACCATCATGATGGTGATGGAAGAGTAAGGTTCCCTGTGGGCTTCCCAGTTTCCTTTAATAAGGACACTAATGCCATCGGATCAGGGTGCCATCCTTGTGGCATCTGTTACTTCAATTACTCCTTTAGAAGCTGAAGGTTTGAGTTTCACTGGAGTCTGGGTTCCACAGACGAATTTGGAGGTGAACATTCATCCATTCCACAACAGGCCTCTAGTACCTGGGTTAGCATCAGCGGTTCTAAAGCTCTGTGAAAATGGAAGCCTGCAGTCTGTTTTTTTGTCAGGTCGGGTTTCTCTCCCCACTCAATGGAATTATGTTTGAGAGTCATCTGTGTTGTTGCGTGGGTACAATGTCAGTGGTTCATTCGCTTTTTTAAGCAGAGAAGTATTCTGGTGTGCTAACCATACTTTGTTTATCCATTCTTCTACTGAGGGTCATTTTGGGTTGGCTCCAGATTGCCAAAAGCCATTTATTCAGTGTTGTGCACTACGTTAGCAGTCAGACTATAGAAAAATGTGAAGTATGATCCATTAGCAATGCGTGACCTTGCAAAACCACCAAGAAGGCACCAACACACAAAATAGAGTATGGCTGATTCGTGGGACAGAGTTGAAGTCGGGACTCAGAGGAAAGGCATGCTTTTGGGAGCGCTGGTAAGGTTTGTTTGCAAATGCTTGCACTTAGAAAATGAATAAGCAAATATATATATATATATATATATATATATATATATATATATATCAGCTTCCATGGAAAAGAAAGCGGTGCCAAGTGTGGGGGGAGTCGGCAGGTGC